ATGAGGCTTCAGCCTGACTGGCTGTTTCATAGTCCTTTAACTTGCTCCAACCTTGTCCTGAGAAATAAAAATAAAAACCTTAGCCCCTGCCCAACTGACAGAACAGACCCAATTTTGGGCCAGGGAACCCCAGAGAAACCTTAAAAGCAAGTTCTGGCCAGGCGTGGTGGCTCAGGCCTGTAATCCTGGCACTTTGGAAGGCTGGGGCAGGAGGATCATTGAAAGAGGTGGGCTTGCAAAAATTATAAAAACAGGAACATACCTAATTCCGCAATTTGCTAGTGACAGTTAAAGATTGATCCTACAAATTCTCTCGCTGGGCACCCTGTGGCCATTGAGGAGCCCAACAGACCAAAAGGAAATATAAATTTAATCCCTAGACTTATTGAATAATCTGCCTTTTAGAATTTGTGCTTTCAGCCTCAAGTGGTTCCTGAGTGTTCTGGATAAACAATGGGGTATGAACATCAGGCCTCAGGATTAGAAACACCTGGAAAAATGTCTGTCTTTAACTTTTCCTAAGGAAAAACCTGATACAACAATCACAACCACAGAACCTATGAATTTATCATTTTTTGGTCCTTCTCTTAAATTCATCTAGAATTTGACCACAACTACGGGCATTCTTCCTTTCTTTCTTGAGACACCATGCCATCTCCCTGCTGTCTTCTCTCACTCTCTCTAAGATAAAATAAAGTCTTTGTATTTTTATGTCCTGATCTTGGTCCAGAGAAATTCTGTTCTTGTCCCACACAGAGCATGTACTGAGCTTTCCATCCTAACAATCACATTAAGTCCAGGAGTTTGCAGCTAGCCTGGGCAACAAACAAGAGCCAGTTTCTACAAGAAAATAGAAATATTAGCTGGGCAAGCAGTGAGCTAGATTGCACCAGCACACTGTAGCCTGGGTAACACAGCAAGATCCTGTCTCTAAAAAAAGGAACCCCAAAACAAAAAATAGACTATAAAACCAAGTAGATTCCTTAGGAGACATGACTTTCCAAAACAGATGGGGCTTAGACCTCCCTTCAGAAAGGAGAAATTCGTGTTTGTTCCCAGATGAAGAATGCTGCTTCTCTGTCAACCAGTTTGGATACATCCAGAGTTGCAGCCAAGAAATTAGCTGAACTGGCTGCTACCCTCCCAAGACAAAGAGAAAACTGGCAATCTTGGTTTGACTCAAACAGTTGGCTACCCTGGGTCCTATCTCTAATTACCCCTCCACTTTTTTTTATTACTTTGTGTCTCTCTAGGTCTGCTCCTTACACAAGCTGTGATCCAGTTCATTCTAAACACCATTCTCAGCTTAATCCAACAACCTCTCAGTCAGGTCCTTCTGAAAGATAGTTGCTTAAGACAACACCAACAGTTTCCTAACACCAATAATTCACCATACCTCTAAAAGGGTCTATGTTCCTGTCCAGCAGGAAGCAGTTTTAAGAGATTTTAGTGGTTCCATTCCTTAACATAGAAAGTGGGGAGTTGTGGGTAAGAAATCCTCGTTACCCTGACAAGAGCACAACCCCTTTCCCACGGCCCTGTAAATCCTCTGGGCCCTGATAAGAGTATAGCCAGCTCGGGAGGACAGCTAGTGATAGAAAGCAGGTCAGAGACCAAGTGGCATGGTCACAGCAGCCCCCTCCCCACACTCTTGGAATACTTCAAGGCCAGAGTTCCTGGGAAACATCAGAATCTCCTACCCTGGTCCTGGCTGACACTAGAGATAAGGCCCCTCTGCAAGATTAACACTTTGGCGGAAGGGAGTAATTCTAAGATCTGTCCCTGACACAGCATCATTCACTCTGTAGAAAAAAGATGACTTCCCTCACCTCTCATGACCCCTTCCCGCATTCCAACTACACTAGTAAAAGTCTTTTGAAACTGTATGGGAGTGAGCTGACTCC